TATGTGTGGAGAAAACCAGGCACTGCTCATCACCTGTCCAATACAGGACGACTGGTTGTAATTGAAGGAAAGATGAATGCGGCCAAGTACAGAGATATCCTGGAAGAAAACCTCTTCCAGAGTGCTCAGGACCTCAGACTGGGCCAAAGGTTCACCTTTCAACAAGACAATGACCCTAAACACACAGCTAAAATTACCAAGGAGTGGCTTCACAACAACTCCGTGACCATTCTTGAATGGCCCAACCAGAGCCCTGACCTAAACCCAATTGAGCATCTCTGGAGAGACCTGAAAATGGCTGTCCACCAACGTTCACCATCCAACCTGACAGAACTGGAGAGGATCTACAAGGAAGAATGGCAGATAATCCCCAAACCTAGGTGTGAAAAACTTGTTGCATCATTCCCAAGAAGACTCATTGTTGTTTTAGCTCAAAAGGGTGCTGCTACTAAATACTGAGCAAGGGTCTGAATACTTATGACCATGTGATATTTCGGTTTTTCTTTTTTAATAAATCTGCAAAAATATCAACAATTCTGTTTTTCTGTCAATATGGGGTGCTGTGTGTACATTAATGAGGAAATAAAAGGAAAATGATTTTAGCAGTGGCGCTTTGGCCCAGAGGCAATGTCTCTGTCATTGGTGTGGAACCCCAGGGTTCACCTCCTGGGCAAGTTTGAATCCTGTTTAGGGTGGTTAATACCTTTTAGTGGACTCACCACCCGCAGGAAGGTTCAGAGGGGTTGGTACGGTGCAGTGTGATTTGGGTGGACACTGCTGCCCCCCGACCCGGTAACGGATAAGCTGATGAAAATGGATGGATGGATGGACGATTTTAGCAAATGGCTGCAATATAGCAAAGAGTGAAAAATTTAAGGGAGTCTGAATACTCTCCATAACCACTGTAGATAAAATCAGTTGTCCACATGGCATTTTCATTTTCTTCTTCAAGACTACTCATTCTGTAACTTAATCAAAATGAAAAAGAAAAGGAAATTTGCCCCCAGCAATTAAGTAAAATTCATTTTGAACGTGCTGGTAACACAAGAACAACAGCAGCCCCGCACTGTGTCATTAACCTACATTAATGAAATGCTCACTGTATATATACATATGTCACACATGACATGCGGGTATCTTAGATTTCCCAACCCAAATATCATTTTTCCGTATGTATTGCACATGTTTTTTTTTTGCATTACCCTGTAGGTATGTGTTGCAAAATGTCTTTTTGTTTATTTATGTACTGTTTTTCTCGTTTTAGGCTAGAACATTTACTTTTTTATACAAAAAGATGAAAATATTTGAAATTAAATTTTTTACCATAAAATATCACGAAATATTAAAAAAACCTGCGATGTACTGAGGGAGCAAAAGGAGAATCGTGATATAGAGAGGGAACACTGTATTGTCTTAGGGCAGTACTTTTCAAATAGTGGGTTGGGGGGAGGGGTGCGGTGAGGTGCCGGGGTGGCATCCAGTGTAATACTAGATGTCAGTATTATCTATTCTAATAACACAGTTATTAGATTATATATTATATATAATAAATATAAATATAAATATAAATATACAGTATATTATATATATAATTAGTTATTAATTAAATCTATTCTAGACAGAAGTGTACTACTTCTATAATGCTTGAACGATAACAAGCCTCCAGTCACTAGGTGGCAGCAACTCATACATTGGTTAGTACAGATAAAAATATACATGTTTTCAGGTTTAGGTTGTTAATAGAATTTCAATTTGCGGTTTTGGGGGGTGGCGCGTGAAAACATTTGTGTCCCCAAGCGGGGGGCATGACAGAAAATAATGAAGAACCACTGTCTTATGGGTAACAAAATCCAAAATAACATTTAAAACAGAAGAGAAAGTGTCGTCTTTATAAAAAGCATTTATTTCAAAGGTTTTTGTTGCTTCAGAAATTGAAGCACAGTAGAGCAACAATACAATTTTTAAAAAATATAACTGTGATGCTGTCACATTTTTTTTTAATTTTATCTCAAAATGTTAATAATCCGTGTATACTAAAATAACTTTTAAATTGTACAAATTGGTATCACAAAACTCGAAAGAGAATAAAAAGGAGGTCCCATCTCGTTGCAACAAACAGACAGGTATTTTTTTTTATTTTAAATAAGGAGAAAGACAAATGGACAAAATAATAATAATACTGATAAAAAAGAAGAAACGGGAAAATTGTCTCATCCACATAAGCAATAAACCAAGATCAGACTTAAAGTTTGGCAGTACACGTCTCAGAGCAGTCTAAGCATGACTCAATCATACCATGTATGCTCAGTTTAGACAACTTGGAATCTGAGCTGCTACAACTAAATACATGTGTGCATATACTGTACAAGAATTTTTTCCCATGTACCTGCATCCGAAAATAAGTCAGAATCATAATTACATTAAAAATAACAATTGCAAGTATAACCAATGAAATAATAATAACACTTAAAAATGAGCAAGAACAATTGTGCTCAAGCAGCACATTTTTGTTCCGACCCCTGTACATTTGAGCAAGCACAATGCTATTTCCCCATTGTTGAGATTTTTTGTTAAAGACCCAATGTAGTTAGGGTTGTGAAAAAAAAAACAAAAAAACAAAAACAAAACACATTTTAGGAGTGTACAGAAGTACACGTTGGATCCCAAAAGTGATTTACCAGAGGCCTACACATTGCTCCGTACATAGATAAAACAGATAATAATTTGCTTTGTAGATATACTTTAGAGATTTTTAAAAAAGCATGGAAAAATGTATTGCATTGCAAAAGTATCTATTTAGATTAAGGCGGTTTATAGAGCTCATCGCTTTTCACTCAACAGGATTATTAATGGTCCACTGAAATAAAAATGAGATCATTTGTTGGTGGACTGATAATCAAATGATTGTTGCAGGGAAGAGTGGAAAACGGATGTAAAGAATAAAACGCTGGTGTGTTGTTTAAGGCCACTATAATTTGAATATGCTGTAATATGCATCTTTAAAGAATTGACAACCCAGAGTCTATCATAAACCACAGAACCAGTTAAAGGCTACACACAACAAATTTAAGAAAAAAAGCAGTATGAGCCTTTTTACACACATTTCTCAATTGTAAATTTAAACTAAACAACATGTATTCCAACTATTATTTCTTTTTTGATTGCCTCCTTCTTGTGTAGAAAAAAAGCTACAAAGTTATCTATCCATCCTACTCTGAACTCCTATGGATAACAACACTTTCTTTCTCAGGAACCCAGATGAACTGATTAGTAGCCATCTCGCATGACTACCTTATGATTCAAATACATTTTGCTATTTTGCTTGTATTTTTCCTCGATAAAACAAGTTACCAAACCCTACTTTCCTAAAATTGATAGAAATCAAAAGAAGCAAAAATTAAGTGAAAAGGTCAATGAGGGGTAAAGGGAGAGCCAATTAGGGTTCAATAATTCTTTTTTTTTTTTTGTTTATTAATAAACTGTACTAGATTAATAAGTTAATACAATGAATGGAAGAGCTGTAAAAAAGCCATGGCCAAATTAGCTTGAACTGGTCAGTTGATGGTAACAGCTGAGAACTGGGAATCGGTGAATCAAAAATCAGGAGGGCCATCCACTTAGTAAGACAACTGTTATAAGTCATTACCATCCTCATTAGAAGAGAAGTCTTTTGTCCCGTACAGATCCGCCAGCTTCTTAAACCGTGGGCCCCAACTTTGCAGATAGTCGTAATCCAAATCAGACTCTGTTGTGACAGATTCCAGGGAACTCAATGAACCGGCCAATGATCCTTTTCCTTCATATCCATAGATCTGAATAGAGTCATAAGGAGGCGCAGTTGGGTCACTATCCGCCTCAGCAATTCGAGTCTTGATGAAGTCATCCACATCCACGCTGTTCGCTGCAGGGCGGTCAATACCGGGTCTAATGGAATACTGAAGCTCTGGTATGATATCCTTTCTTGGCAGGAAACCATTGGCACTATCTGGATTCTGGAAACAATAGAAAGGATAGCAAAGTGCTTCAAATACTTATATATTTATTTGCCTGGGTGATTAGTTATATAAATATTTTTAACAATTATATTCTGTCATATATTTATACAATATATTACATAAAAGCCTTCTGACAGTTTAACCATCCCATTGTCCTTCGCATTTTGTATACACCGAGCATCCTTGCAAAAGGTTTGTATCTTTAGGGTTGTGAAAAAAGTGAGGAAAAATTGGCACAAGCCGTGCAGTTGGCACAAGCCGTGCAGTACACACAAAGGCATATTATCAGCATAGGTGGAGTTTGCGGAGGAGCAGGAGGGGCACTGCCTCCCCATTGGCTGAAATATGTCACGACATTGAGTCTAGACAGATAGCTAGACAGACAGACAAGATAGAGAGAGAGAGAGAGAGAGA